ACCACCGAGCACATCCAGCTTAACTGCCCCGGCTACACTGAACAACGCTCGCGGCTCTTCGACGCCTACGGTCGTCTGGGACTTCCACACGTGAGCCTCGACCACCTCCGGTTTCCCCAGTCCCACCGCTCGAGGCTCATGCGGGCCTTCAAGGCGCTACTCGAGTTCTTCGATGACGCTGCTCTCATCGCGCGCCTTTAGCGCGGCCCGCATGCACGTGTCCGTGTTTGTTTACGTGTCGGGCCACGCCCACCTCCTCTGTCGCTTCGCTCTCACCGCGCGCCTCTAGCGCGGCCCACATCCACGTGTCCGTGTTTATGTGTCGGGCCACGCCCACCTCCTCTCACTCTTGGATGGATGGATGGATATGGCTGTACCCTTTAGATCGGGCGGTGGCTAGCGCCACCAAGCCGTAATACTCAATGACCCAAAAACTAGATTTGTTTTTTTTTTCTATAAGAAGTGAGTTTGAGGATTCGTACTTTGCAGTGAAGAGTTTAATTTTCACTCGTGCCTTGACTTTAGCCACCAATCAGATAACCTCCTTGTAGTTAAGTCTACCCGCTTAAAGTATATTTTGCTCTCCCGGTCCCTAAACCCCAGTGCTTTGAAAAACTCTGCACCATCATCCTGAACTATAGGGTGAAGCCCTTTACAGAACATTATCAAGTGTTCGGCAGTTTCTTCTTCCTCTCCACACGCACTGCATACTGTGTCTACCCCTTCGTATTTGGCCGATATGTCTTGGTTCGCAGTACTCCCGTCCTGGCCTCAAACAGTAGAGAACTACCCCGAGTATTATCATAGATCCTTTCCTTGGCGATTTCTTGCTTAAAAGTTCGATACATCTCTAGTGAGAACTTCTTAATTATGCCCATTCTCCACATGTCAGTCTCCGTTTCCTTCACCTTCTTCTTAACCAATAGTTCTTTTTGGTTTGGCCACCTGCTGTTTTCTAAGTATTTACCAGTCAATTTCCTGGTTCGCTTCTTCCATTTTGTATTGACATTCTTCATGTACAAGTAGCTGAAAACCTTCCTAGCCCAACGCTCCTCCCCGATTTTTCTCAGTCGCTTCTCAAATTTTGTCTTGCTGCTAGCTTCCCTGCCCTCAAATGGTGTCGATCCCATATCACCTTGTACTCCCTGATTTGGTGTATTCCCGTGAGCTCCTAAAGCAAGCCTACCTATTCTACGTTGCTTAATTTCTAATCTTGCTTGAACTTCTGATCTCATGCACAAGACCGCATTGCCAAACGTCAGCCCAGCAACCACGACCCCTTTTCATATTACTCTCACAACATCATACCTATTGTAATTCCACAGTGCCCTGATTATGCCTTATATTCTGGTTAAATTTCGCTGACACCATGGTAGAAAAGCTAAATATGCGCTAGCATGTTCATAAGTCGAGTCACTCAGACTAACGCCGACTCGGATCCACCCATTGATGTGAATGAGCGTGACTGAATAATGTTATTGTGAAATTGAATCCAAATGAGTTTGGTTAAAAAATTCCCAGATAACGGGTACAGTGGGAATTGATGATATGCGGAGCACAAATGAGGGAAGTTGATATAACATTTTAAAATCAGCACAACGTAACGAGGCGGAGATAAATTATGCCGTACCAGATAATCACAAAACTGTTATTGTAAAAACATCGCGCATTTTACGTCTGATGCAAGAAGCGCGCAGCATCGCTATTACAAACGAGTTACCTTTTTAATTACTTTCACCTCAAAAACATTACTCGTTAGCGATTGTGTTCATGATTGTGGTTTCGCGAAGGGCCACAAGATGTCGACACCATCGTTACAATAGCCTTATACCTTTCGCCCTTCTGCGCATACGAGGATACTATGCGTGATAAAGAACGTCTCGTGATTTTGCCACAATGGTGATTCAGTCCTATGTAAGTAAAATACAGTTTATATGGAGTTAGCATCACCATTTATTGTTTGCAAAAACGTAAAGGTAAACGCGTGTACATACGTACGTAAACGGTTATGTCTGATGAGCTAAATCGTTGAAAGATATCCGTTCTAGTAAGACGGTAAACGCAAACCGGTATGCGGTAACACGATAACGTAAGCAACTGAGCACACGAGCTAAAGCTCCCTATTTATTGCGATGCTCATCGTCAAGTAAAAACCAATAAAAACTTATTTTGCCTTTATTATGCCTTCCAGCACATCCAACCGCGACGCAGCTTGGCGGCATATCTTTTTTTTTTATCCTTGCTTGACTGAGAACACTACATGCACCATTGAAAACCGAGCAGGAACTGCGGTGGGCAGAGCATATTTTGCCTACGAAGCGAAACCAAATGCGCGACGATAGCGCCACCGCATTTTCGTGACATACGTCAGGTGGAATTTGTCTATACCAAGGTTTCTTCCAAATACCTAGAGTGAAGTGTGGCGCTACCGTCAATGCGAATTTCTTAAAGGGGGACGTTGGAGCGCTGGGAATAAGGGTATATGTGTCTGCGAGGCTTGTGTTGGCTACTGTTGAGCAGAGCTTCGGCTCAAAAGCGAATAACGACTGCGTAAATAAAGCTTCTAAAAAAACGTTTAGGAGCGGATCACATTCCAGTGTAATATATTCTAAAATAAAAGTCCACTCATCTTGACGGCACAACCAAACGGCGAAGGAAAGAAACAGACGACATAAACATGGCGGAATAAAACGCTCACATTGTCTTCTGCCTACCAAGTTTAGTGGCGGTTGGTAACTTCTTACACTTCATAAAAATGTATATCAACGTAAGAGGTTCTAGTGTTACATACAACGCGTTTTTGTGCATAAAATAAATAGCTTATTACGCGTTCTTTTAGTGTAAAATCAATCATGCTTACGTGAAGCCAGACGCGTTTTGGAAGTATACAAAATCGAGACCAGTTCGGTGCTCACATATCCTGTCATTCCCTTGTATCCAGCAGCTCACTAGCGTCAGATTTCCCTCTGGGTATGATTGTGAGAAACGCGATGGTCTATACTCGAACTGTGACGCCAGGCGTGACCGGCGCGACCAGCGTCCATCAGCACGGCCCGGCGGCTACTTGCGCGAAATGCAACAAGCTGCATTTCGCACCCACTATCCAGGCTGCACTGCGTCTACCTGTCTTCGTGATGGAGGAATGCCGGGTACGCTGAAACGCGCATGCGTCGAAGCAACGCAGCTTGGCGGGCGGCGGCGAGCTTATGCATGCAGATCAGCGCCTGGCGTGGCATCGCCGACGTGAAGCGACGAAACGAATGCCGGTGCGCACGCGGTCCATTTCACGACGACGTTTGTTGGCGCCTTGAGTGTGGGATGTAGTCATGTTCTTACATGACACATGTCTCAAGGTTACTATATTTACACCAGTCATAAGCCTTTGTCATCCGTTCACGTGACGTCATACCGAATTTGGCATATGTGAAGCCAGCGTAAGAGCCGCGAGCACATGGTGAGTGTGGCATGTAACCGTGTTGTTACATGACACGCAAGTCATGGTTATGTTGTTTGTGTCATTTACCTATGTTGCCCGTTCGCGTCAAGTAATACTGAATTCGGTGCATGTGAAACTATCGAAACGGCCCCGAGCGCATCATGAGTGTGGCTTTTATTCATGTTGTTACACTACTCGCATCACACGATTATCATGTTTCCACAAGTCACATCCATTCACGTCCCGTAAAACCAAATCTGGTATGTGTGAAGCTGGTGAAATGGGCGCAAGCGCATGATGAGTGTGGCATGTAGTCATGTTGCTACATAAACGCATGTCATGATTTTCATGTTAGGGTGTGTTGCTTGTGTTCACCATGCATTCATGTGTTACCACACATCTTTTGCAACATGTCATGAGAATGAAACCACCGCAAGGGTAGCGAGACCATGAAATGTAAATCAAGACATTCATGACTTATATCGTGTTTTTCATGTTATGACAAATCACGTATGCTCGACAAAAAGTCATCTCAGGTCATACCAACTTTCGTATTGATACCATTAGCGAAATGACCGGGAGAGCTAAAAGCCTAAGCCGCTTGATGGATGGGTGGATACGTTCAAAATCACCGGAATCGGCTAGGAAATGCTTCGCATTTAAAAATTTGTTGACGTGAGTCCTAGTGAGCTTTGTGAATCTGAGAAAATGTATTTGATACATGAGCACAAGAAATCTTCGCTTTTTTTCTGACCTATGGAGACGACTTCCTCGTGCACCGCACGCATCATGACACCATTTCTCGAATAGAGCACCGCTGCTTCTGAATGCTGCCACGTGACCACTGCTAATGCAGTGGCCTACGGCTGCACAGCGTTTATTTGTCAAACCACTGTAATTTAACGAACCACAGGTAAAATGTGTGATAGGGCTCTTTATCGGCCTTGTCAACGTTGCTATTGGAAATAGCCAACAAAAATTAAGCGCCGTGAAAGTAGCAACTGCTTCGATGGGGTGAAGAGACAATATGAAGGGCCCAGAAGCAATATTCTTTGTGACTTAATAACACCGTCCTCCATAAGGGCTCACCGACCACAATAATAGAGACAATTCCGCTTGTTGCGTGCCTGGTGACGTTTCGCTCTCACACCGAACACGGACCATATCCCTTAGCGCCTAGATTGTCTCAATTGAATTCACAGACAACATAGATTATGGGTTTTCGCTCAAGGTCACTTGAAGGTCAAAGCAGGACCTATATATGTTTCATGTTTAAAATATCATTTGTGCAAATAATAAAAGTCCAGTCAAGAGATGCAATCCATGCAAGGGCTCAAGCAAATATATGGGCTGCTGGTTTCACATAGAAAGAATGCTTGTCAGTTCCGTGTTTTTTTTTTTTTGAACGGAGTGGCATTGCTACAAAGATGTCAGTGTACAAAGCTAATCGTAAAGTAATTTCCTTCAGTTTTAACATCGCATTTCAGCGTCATCCTATATATGTACAATTACCAATGTTGAGCTCATTGTGCATGATCTTTACCAATAATTTCTTTTGTTTCAGGTGAAATGCTGGAACGAAGATCAAGGCTGCGAAATTGTTGTTGCTGCATCACAACTCAGCAAGCACTTTTTCAAAGAATGTGATAAACACTCGACCAGCTGTTCGAAATGCTCAACAGTCGTACTCTGCAGTGATATATGCGCGCATATACAGAGCAAGTGCAGAGATCACGTGATACCTGTGGAGTCCTGGAGTCCGATAACGAGCATTGACGGCCAAGGTGCTGTAATGAAGGCTCCTAATGATAACATAAACGCACGAGCAGATGAAATGAAAGAGAGGTTCGACCAAGTGGCGAATGCAAACAACGCTCAAGCTATCCGTCTTAATGAAGTTTACCAATGCCTGAACATCATAAAAGAAGCAGCAGTAGAAATTCAAAGGCGGAACAATACACTTGATAACCTTGCATCTTCCACTGAAGTCATCCGCGAAAATCACACTGAGCATGCTGAAAAACTGCACAAGTTTGAGGGAGCGATAAACAATGCTAATGAAACGCTGAAAAATGGCTTGGAAAGCATGAAGTTAGCTGTCGAAAAACGGAAAAAGCTACAGCAGACTTCGTGCAAATGCAATTGAGGGAATTCGCCAGTAAGGGCGGCACTCTAAACAAAATCCTGCGAAAGAAGTTCGACATCGCTACTAAGACAATCTGCACCAATTGCACAGAAACTGTGGCAAGTATTCTTCAAGAAAAATTCGGAAAGCTAACCGGCTCGTTTGAAATCAGTGTGGATAAAAATACTGGCTTTAAGCACAATGGATATTAGACGACACGAGTTTTTTATAGAGGGATGCAAAGCAGTGAAAGACAGCGCACTTTCAGAGGGCTCTCATCTTTGCGAAAGAGAAAAAATGTACATCTCTGGCTATTACCTCTCACCAGGAGTGTGGTTCGAAAAGACAGATGAGCATGTAACATTACATACGTACTTCCAATTGCACAAGGGAGTCATTGACGATGTTCTTACGTGGCCGTTGAATAAGAACATTAGACTGTCTGTGAAACACCCTTCGGAAAACAAAACGCGTCAAGACCTTTCCAAGACAGGCTACAATATTGACTTTTATGGAAGACCCCAAAAACAAAGTAGCGAAGGATGGTTTAGGAAAATCGCATCATTTCGCTTGAATGAACTGGAAAGAGAAGGGTACATCAAGAACGACAAGCTTCAAATTGTGTGGGAGCTTGTTTCAAAAGACTCAGATAACTGAATAAAAGGTTAGCAGTTTTTTTTTGGTCAAATGAATTACCAGTCTTCTTTGTTTTTGTCAAATCCTCAAGGCCTCTTATAGAACTATTGTCTATTAACTTCAGTGTTTCTAATTGCTCCGTGGAAATCAAAATGAAGTGTTTTAATGAGTTTTATGACACATGCTGTAGGGGCTATATACTACAGTGAATACGATTCCCGCCAACGCAAACAGTCCAACGAAAGACCGCAATAAGGAGATGAAACATAAAGGTGGAAGTGGAATGGATTAAGAAAATCCGCTTAGCGAGGATTAATCTTCAATGCTGTTAATCTTTAGGTGATCGGCTTAATCGTTCAGGTTTTTATTATTAGATTGACGCTCAGGGGCGAGAAACGCAAAAAATCAAGTGCAGAGCAAAATTCAAGAGCAAAAAGTCAAAAGTCAAGAGCAGCGATAACCAAGAGAAATATAAGCGAGTTGGATAGCGTACTTTTCTTCGCTGTAAGAGCCTACATTGCAATATAGAAAAAAATAACGTGTTATCTGCATGCTTCACTGCGAAGGACGTAGAAAAACGATAGTCTTTCGTCTGAAGGCGCTGCGTTACACTGCGTTAAAGCCACCAGAATGAAGGAGTTACCGCCAACGTCTAGCTCGCCACCATTACGATTCAGCGTGGCTGAAGCTACGGCAGAGCAGTGCTGATTTTACGTGGAGTAACGCATGTGTTTTAAACATTCTCTGCTTTTCTACAAGCCAGAGTGAAGCATGTCTTTAGTATTTACATCGCTAAAAAAATGCATAGCAACGATTTCAATTATCGGCTCGCAGCCACGCACTGCGGGAAGCTGATTAAAGGCCGCACTGCCGCCGATGGTTGTCGTCCACCTGGAACCAATATTGTGACCGTCGTGCGCTCTGTAGCTCGTTAGCTACAAACTGCTGCGTTTATTTGCTTTACATTCACGTGCTTAGACTTCGACAGCACAGCAATCACGTGGATATGGCGCCATTTCGGGAAAACATAACGAAACAATCAATGCTGTCGGCTTAGTGGGCCTCCCCTTGAATATCGAAGGAGCTATATTTTGTGCTGATGAGTTTGGCTTCTCTTCCATTGCTGGCGTCATGTGATCAGGCGGAAGCAGTGGTGTGTTATGTGGCACTACGCTAAACTCTGACAAAAAAGGTTTGTATATTCACTAAATACAGCAACAGGATGGCAAGTTGGGCCAGTTAGATTACGTTCATAATTGATAGTTTTATTGAAGCCCACTAAAAAACGGATGGACAAAAGAGGCTGACAGGTGCTGTCCTTGTTTTTTAAAGAGCTTCAGCAAAATTTTCAATTACGACTAAGTACTAGCCCGTTAATTCTCACAGAATGAACAAACCAGCTAGTAAACGTAGCTAGTAAAAGGGAGTGGAAGGCACTCCCTCGTTGGACTCGTGACAAACACTATCCCGAATACTAACCGTCTAGGTGAAATCAAAACGTCGTTTGGTAGTTAAAAGTACTACCTAGTTGGTTAAAGGTACTAGGTCGTGAGGTAATGAAAAATATGACCTTGCAAGTTATAAATAGTTCCTATTTATTCAAAAGAGTTTACCTCGTTGGGTAGTGATAAGTACGACCTTTCTAGTTAAATGCATTATTTTCTTGGGTAGTTATAAGTACTGCCTCACTAGTTAAATGTATCATCTTCTTGGGTAGGTAAAAGTACTGCCTATTTAGTTAAATGCCCTAATTTGTGGGGTAGAGAAAAATAAGACCTCACTACTTTAGTGTACTACTTCCTTGGGTAGTTAAAAGTACAACATATTGTTTAAATGCACTACTTCGTCGATTAGTAGAAAGTACGACCTTGCTACTTAACTGTGCTACCACTTTGTGTAGTTAAAAGCACTACCTAGTTAGGTAAATGCACTACTACGTCGGGGAGTGTAAAATATGACCTCACTACTTAAATGTACTAGCTGCTTCGGTGGTTAAAAGTACTACCTGGTTTGTTAAACGCACTACTTCATTGGGTAGTGAAAAGACCCACCTCACTCGTTAAATATGCTACCCTAACGGATAGTTTAAATTGCTACCTTAGAAGCTTAATGCACTATTTCGTCTGGTAGTGTAAAGTATGAAATAGCTAGTTAGAGGTGCTGACTCCTTGCGTAGTGAAGTACTCACATGGTAGTAAACGTCACTAACCTAAGTTCTGATCAGGTAGCGACAAGCATGCTCGTAGATATCACTACTAAGTTATTCAATCAATAAAACTCTGACAGAGAAATAAAGAAGAAAACGTGATCTGAAGTGCAAACTCACTAAGTAGTTTTATGCAATGCAGTATACGTGAACAAAAAAGACAATCCAGAGAATACAGAGTATTTATTTAGCTGTTTTTTGTTGACCCACACTCTTTATTGCAAAATTGGCTCGCGTGATTACTAATGATAGAGGTTTGGGTGGAGGTAGGGCACAAAAATGCTCCACCAGACCAAATGTGTTCTCATTCTGCTGATCGTACTTTACGTTGAAGACACAATGCATCTCTAAAAGAAGGACGAAGCCAGCAATAGAGTCAACCACTTCAAGCTCTAGTACCTAAAACAGAGCACAAAGGACTGTTACACCCTTGACGTCCTCGTGATAAGGCATGGTGAGATTCCCTGTAATAATATGACAAAGTTTTAGCACACAAAAACAAAATTTAAATCAATGAGTTATTTCTTACCAGCCCTTCAAAAAATGTGGCTTCTCTTTCACAATATATATTAAAAGGCCTGCCACATCAAAGGCAAAGTTGTATGCAAAAAAAAAGAAATGCACAGTTTAAGCTAGTGATCCGAGAGCAAGCCATGGCAGAACAACCAGGCAAATAAAATAAGGCTTATGATTGGGGCAACTTGGAAGCTGCTTCAGCTTCCAAGTTGGTATGGCATAAGACTTCAAACACCGACTTCTTGAACATATGCTAGCCCTGACCGTTGGGAGAGAGCTAAGCACGATCTGCAGTCCCGCATACAACTGCCAAACGGATGGGTTGCGATGTATGTCGAGGACATGACGCGTCTTTTCCACCGAGCTGACGCCAGCTTGCCAGAAGAAAAGAATGTACGATACCTCATGCGCGGGGTGAAAGAGAAGGTTTTCGCTAGGCTTGTGTGCAGTCCACCCAAGACTGTGTCAGAATTTCTCACAGAAGCCGTCACCATCAAAAACACTCTTAGGCACCGGGCCCCGCCATACGAACGGCACGTCAGCGCTTCAACTACGGACTACTTGAGAGCTTTCGGTGGCCAAATGGATTTTTTCCGAGCGCTCATATGTTCAGTCATCCGCAAAGACCTCCAGAATCTGTCGGTGCCCTCGCACCCCACTATCTTCTCATTGTCCAGCGTTGTCCGAGATGAAGTCCAGCATACCTTAAGAGAACCGCCTTTCATGCGGGATTGTCAGCCACCGAGTGACTTCCCTCGCATATCGTATGCTCAAGTTTTGCGGTAACCTGTTACAACAGCAATTCCGCAACCCACCGTGTCCCCAACCATGCTGCAGACGGTCCAAGCGCTGCCATATTACAGCGCACCTCGCCTGATCTTGCGGAAATCAGACGTCCGGCGTGCACCAGATCGACGTTCTCTCTGCTTCCACTGTCGCGAAGCTTGGCATCTGCACTGACCCTGTTCTTACCGACAACTTGGACTACGCAGATTTTCGACGATCTCACCGCGACCCAGGTTCAGTCAGTGGCCCCCAGAAAATGAAGAGTATGTGGCTCAGCAGCGCGGAACTTCAACATCCTTGCACAAGTCACGCTCCCCGTCACCGCGGTAACTTTCTCCAAATCGCCGTACCTATTCAAGTGTGGTGCAAGGTCAGTCACCCAGTCCACGCCGGGAAAACTAACCACAGTGACCTTCGGGGGCGAGGCCACTCATACTGGACAAGCTCAAGGCCTCCTACCGACGCTTCTGCAAACTGATGATACCTCGACGACGACGACACCAGCTGGTTCCGCAAATATTTCATTAGACATTCGAGTGCTGCTCGACGGTCGCAAAGTCAGTGCTTAGTTGACACGGGTGCGGATTTTTCTATAATAGGTGAAACACTGGCTGCCCTCCTGAAGAAAGAGACGATGCCTTGGAACCTCAGGCCAATATGCACTGCTAGCGGGCACATCGTCACACCACTTGGCGTTTGCACAGCACGAATACTGATTCGTGGTTCTACCTTTGTTGTCAGCTTGAGCATTATCCGTCAGTGTTCTCGAGACCTGGTCATTGGCATGGACTTCCTGAGGGAGCACGGTGCTATCATCTACATTCGACAACGCATCGTCACGTTCTAAACAAAAATGTGCCACACCAGAGCATAATCCAAGCCACGATCGAGTGTATGCCTGCGTGTAATTGACGATGCTGTGACAATACCACCACGCTCAAGTGTCATGGTTCAATGGCGTGTGAGAAATCAGCACACGGTGAAATGGTGGCGGAGAG